TCTCCAGGGGCCTTTCACCATCCAGCTCCTTACAGCCAGCTGCAAACCTTTTATGCTTTTGTTGCCCACCAGATTAATGCAAAACTAAGAGTAAGAGTGTGCTGACATTGCAGTCAGAGAAGTGGCCTCCAGGGACCAGAAGCAGCCTGGGTTCTCTGGCATTAGGACTTCAGGTAGTAGGCTGACTGTCAGTATGGGTTAGAAATGCAAGAGAGCTAGTGCTTGATACATCACTTACTCCTTGCTTTAGGGGAGACATAGCAATTGCTTTATAAAGGATTTTGAGAATCTTATACAAAAAGGCAAGCAACTGAAAGCTAGCAAAAGTACACTAAGCCATTGCTGCAGCATGTCTGATGGACATAATGCCCATTGACAGCAGCAATGCCACAGGGAGAAACCATTCTCTGTTCAAGCTATTAATGCCAGTAATTTGATGCATAAATATCCTTTCAAATTATTTTTAAGGAGAAGGCAATATACTTTACAAAAATAACATGTAAATTTCTAATAAAATTACAGATTTTTCATATTTCTGAAGTCAAGCAATCTACATATCACTACAGAATTATCACAAACTTGTCGATTGTGTTCATATTTGAGGACCATAAATTTTGTACAGAGTTTTAAATGAATGTATATGCTTGTCACTAGAGTAAAAAGCTTTGTTCTCTAAAACAGTACATCATAAACTTTATTATGCATAAGAATCTGGAGGTCATATTAAAATGAAAGTTTGTATTCATTAGGCCTGGATTGGAACCTCACAAATTCTCAGGTAATCCCAATGCTGCAGGGTCAAGTGCCATACTGAACAGGGAGGTTTTAAGATACTGGGCTTTAAATCAATAAATGCATCAGAAATGCTTCTTGTTTTATAAACTCACTGATTATAAGATGTTCTAGTGAACCACTTAAAGCCTAGAAAACACGTCTATGAATGTGAGTAAGCTCAAGTCCTAAAGCTGCCATTTCATTTTTTTTACCTTAAAGATGGTACAGTATAGATAATTGGGTTTTTACTGACTAGTATGATATAGCTGTTCTCTTTTTGGTAATGATTTACTGTTGAGTATGTTTATTTTCCCTAAGCTTCACTAAGGTATAACCAGCAAATAAAGATTGTATGTATTTACAGTTTACATTGTAGTGTTTTGATGTATGTATTATTAAATCAAACTAATTTTCATATCCATCGTCTTACATACCATTTCTTTTTTTGTGATGTGAGCATTTGTGATCTAATTGCTTAGCAGTTTTCTAGTGCATTATTATTAACTCTAGTCACCATGCTGCATGATAAGTCTTAGTGGATGGTCAATGTGTTGGAATATCTGGAAGCATGCCAAAGCACTTAAAGAGAACTGAAAGAAATCCTTACTGGCGTTCAGGGCAGCTGTTGAGCAGAGGTGCAGAGGAGCTCCTGTGATGGGCAGGGCAGATCACTTCCAGTGTTTGTTCTAGGTCTTCAAATTTTTACCAAGTATCGTGTTTTCTCAATCACATACTTAAGTCCAAATTGTCACATTCCTCGTTTTAACCTTTTCTTATCAAACTTGCTAAAACTGTTTGTTAGCTGTTCTCCTTTACCTCTTTCTCCCATTCTGTAGAAAGTGCTCTAGCAGTTCACACGAGAGAAAAGAATCACTGTTATCTGGGACCTTGAAGAACGTCTTTGTAGAAAGGTAGCTTTTGACTTGATACTGACAACTAGGTAGCCTTTTCTAGCTGCTCCAACAGTGATCATGCATAACATGAGCAGGGTGGAGACAGGAGAACAGTGAGATGTATTTTAGGAATTGCAGGGACTGTCAACTTTTTGCATTTCTGAATTTATAATTTAAAGGGTCTGGACTATTTGTGAGTGACCTTTGGAAAGGTCATACAGCATTTCTGAGTTGATGATTTTATTCTTTTGAGCAGAGCTTAGTGTTGCCAGTACATAGTGAGGCCAGTGATTCCCCTAGCAGTCACGTCCTTACTCCTCTCTCCACTCTTACGTGGTCTTGTCTTAGCATGTTAGATGAGGAGGTAATGCATCATGATTAGGATTGGTAAAGAGCATTGTACGGTTCCTTTCAGTTCCTAAAGTTTGCTACAGTGAGTTTATATAACTTTTTGCCTAAAAAACTGCCTATAGACAGATCTCAGTGAGTTCAAGGCCAGCCTGGTCGACAAAGCGAGTTCCAGGACAGCCAGGACTGTTACACAGAGAAAACATGTCTCGAAAAACCAAAAACAAACAAACAAAACAAACCCCAAAACAAAACAAAAAAACTTGCCTGTAGAGGGAAAGGGTTGGTATTAACTATATAAAGCTCCAAGACCATGGGCTTAAACTGGGGTCTCTTAAGAGAGTTTATTTATGTCTGGTGTGTGTGTGTGTGTGTGTGTGTGTGTGTGTGTGTGTGTGTGTGTGTGTGTGTGTGTGTAGAATGAATGTGTCTGGTGGAGCTTGGTAGCATTCAAATAAACTTTTTATTTTGCACATTAATAGAAATGCTTATACTAATAGGAAACCCCCTTTGCTTCCCCAAGGGAAGAGAGACCATTGGGTCAGAGGCAGTTCTCTTGCTTTGAGTCCTTTAACAAACCCAGCTGCTAGCTGTGCCAGTCTCTCCAATTGCATATGTCCCAGTACCGTGTTTTTAAGATGACAGGCAAATCAGTTCTTACCTCATTTTCTTTATTACCTAGTATATAAATGCCATGTAACTATTTCAACATAAAAAAAAACAATTAAATTTAGAATTTAAGTGTTTTACTTTCTGTAAACTTTTTTTTTTCTTCCTTTTTGAGATAGGGACTTACTCTGTAGCCATGGCTGACCTGGAACAAAGAGTTCCTTCTAGTCATCTGCCTGTGACTGCCAAGTGCTGAGATTAAAGGCATGTGCCACAGGCCCAGTGTGAAAGTCTGTGTTTTAATAGGTAATACGTAATTGGTAACTCTTGAAATTATGCAGCCAGAGATCATATCTTCTTTTTTAAAAGTTGATTTTCTTCTTTATTGAAAATAAAAAAATTTTCATACAATATATTCTAATCATTTTCCCTCCCCCAACTCCTCCCAAATTTTATCTTTAATTTTAGCATTTAACACATTTTACCATTCTCTTTGCTCCTAGTTTGAGAACTTATGAGGCAGATTTTATCATACTGTAGACATATGTGCCCTTGTTACCTAATAGATATTTGGTAAATTCTATTATTTAATGACTTGGCTTTGATAGTGATCAGTTTTATTGCTCTGTGATTTTTTTTTTGTTTCTGTAATTTTTTTCCTCCAACACACAACTATAAATCTTACTGTTCTAATATAATTGAGTACCATAGTTATTTTAGATTGGTCATAATGTATATGGGAAGACTCTTGGTGTTTATGTATAGGAAATTTTTCAGTTTGAGACCTCTGTAACAAAAGACAAATGAGATAGGCTTATTTATACACAGTCTAAAGAAAGAAGCAGGGAAACATGTTATTCTCACTTTGAAGAGTCCTGTAGAAACAAGTGGGTGTATACTAAGGGGAACCCAACAAGGCCTGAGTTCAGATTTCCTGGAGTCTTCATTTTCAGAAATGGGGATCTGTCTTTTTCCTCCAGGCCTAAGAAGAGACTCTAGCTCAGTGGTCCTCAACCTTCCTGATGCTGTGACCACTTATTATAGTTCCTCATGCTGTGGTGACCCCCCAACCATAAAATTCTTTTGTTGCTACTTCATAACTGTAATTTTGCTACTGTTATGAATTATAAATATCTGATATGCAGGATATCTGATGTGTAGCCCCCAAAGGGGTCACAACCCACAAGTTGAAAACCACTGCTCTAGCTAAAGTGAGTCATACAGACTACTTTAGAAGGTCAGAGAATTTTTTTAAGGAAGAAAGCCAGAGAGACTTTCTGCATGTTTTCTCAAAAGCCAGAATAGAACATAGCACGCCTTGAGCTACATCAGTAATAGGTGGTCACAGGAAGGAAATCTAGTCTTCCCAACTAACTTTGAGGCATTGAAAAATAATGAAAACATTTCTAAAATCAAATTATTTAGATACTTGAAATCACTTAAGCTTACTTTTAAGAGAGTATGGTTTATCCATTGCTGTCAGCTGTTGTCGTTATTGGCTATAATACATAATGGTAACTTGGAGGCAAGCTTGGTGAGAGCATTAGTCTTGTTTTAAGATGAAAGAGTATAAACCTATAGTAGTGTTGTAAAGAATTACTTGAGGTATTCATATGCTAGCATCAACATGCCTGTATATTATTGAGGTACTGGTGAATTACTAAATTCACAGTTTGAATTGTCACCTTGTGAGAACTGTGTCCATGAAGTAGCATCCAAAGGAGTACCTGGCAGTTACTTGACTGGAAGCTGACATCAGTTTTCACTCACTGTGAAGTAGTGATTCAGTGAATGAATTTTCATGTATAAATTCTGCTTTGAACAAAAGATGCCTGAGCAACAGATAGACTGAATTAGAGATGGAACCTGAGAATAAATAATACTTTCTAAAATAAGTGAAAGTTGGCCACTGGTTTAAAATTTCGTTTCTCTGCGTTGCAGCTTAGATCGGCTAGATTCTCTTTGACAAGCTAGAACTTGGATTTCCACTTTAGAATGAAAGTGAAAACATTCTTTTTCTCCTAATAGCTGACACCTAACACATGGTTATCATAGAAGGTGAAGACAGTGCCGAGGCTCTGCAGTCAGTCTTCCTTCCTCCAGTCTTCCCCAGTGTCTGTCTTAGCTGCACCATGACCTCAGTCAGTGAACCTAGTCTTACAATACTTTCAAAATGGCTGGATACATTCATAATTGCCGTAGTTATTTACAAACTATTTGGAAATGTAGGAATTCTTTGACCAATTTCTAGGCTAATAATGATTAAAATCAATTAGTAGATGATTTTCTAAAACCAAGTAGAGCCAACTTTATTAATTTGTTTTAGACTACTTTACTTTTAATGGAAATGTTAATTTTATATTTTTAAATTTTCAGGTAACTTCAATTTTTACACCTATAACAGCTGAAATAACAAGTCTTGATTCAGAGAATATAGATGAAATTTTAAGTAAGTATCTTGATTTTTTTAAAAGTATGTTTTCTCTGTAAATAGTTTATAAATAAAATTTTAGTTATCTACAATAGTTAACAAACTGGCATTCTCACTCATTTCACTGAGTTTATAAAAGTACTTTAGGTTTTGATTATTAGTAAAATTTCTTTAAATGTGTGCCTTCTTTTCTGGGTTGTAAGACTTGTAACTTTTTTGTTTATTTGTCCTGGTGTAGATACTATTCCTGATAATACATTAGGTGATCTGCTAGGGCCCTGCAGTTTCCGCTATACACTACTAAATATTAAGATACCACTTTAAATTAAATGACTTATTCTCCAATTCCTTTGATAACATTGATTCAGTTAAGCTCAATAATTGTTGTATTGAATGTATTGTTTGCTGATAGTGTGATTTTTAGATAGAATTAACTTGAGATATTCAGATTTTTGCAGATACTGAAAGAAAAGTTAATTCATGGTTGATATGTTGGGTGATTATAGTACCGGAGATTTAAAAATATATGCAGTGTCCAAAAATTCTTTTCTTTAAAAAATGAACAAAAAAGCACCATGTCACTGATTTGCATATGACCCAAACCGAAAGTACTAGAGATAAAGAGGAATTAAAAGGCATTAATTAAGTACCATATGTTGTTTTATGTTCATGGAGCTTTAAATGTCAAAAGAATCTATTTCTACCTCATGAGCTCTTTGGAGTAATATCTATATACCAGGTATCAGAAAGACACAGAGGGCTAATTAATATCTGTGGTGTTTGGCCAACTCCCATGTTCCTGGCAGAAGCTGCTGGACTGCACCTAATTTGCATTTCTGTAAGTTCCTGGGTCATGGAGCTTCTGGTCCAGAAACCGTTTTGTGAACCACAGCTTGAGTGAACAGGCAAATGGACCAAAACTGTGTGAGGTAAAGTGAGGGACTTGAAGCGTGTGCTGTTCTCCTCCCTCTCACCTTGCACATCCTCGACCATCTTTGTGCTGTATTAGTTTCCTGAGTGCTGGGAGAGTTTTAAGTTCCTCTGAGTGAGGTTTAATCAAAAGAAGCAGTACTGTGTCTTTCCTGAATCTTTACATCCTAAGATGCAAACAATAGTGAGATTTTGGTGTGAGTATTATGTGGGTAGGAACTGGGAAAAGTGGATTTCATAATGCTTCAAGGTAGACTTCTGAAAGTGAGAAATAGTTAACTTGCTCAGACTTCTTCAGCTAAAGATGATTCTACTTTCAGAGCTGGATCCCAGTTACTATGTGAATAGAATATTTAAAAGTGGATTTTTGCCAGGAGGTTGGTGGCACACACCTTTAATCCCAGCACTTGGGAGGTAGAGCCAGGTGGATCTCTGTGAGTTCAAGGCCAGCCTGGGCTACAGAGTGAGTTCCAGGAAAGGCACAAAGCTACACAGAGAAACCCTGTCTTGAAAAACCAAAAATAAAAATAAAAATGGATTTTTAAGCTTTAGACCATCCAACTTTATGAGAATGGATTGCTTAGAAATTGATATGCCTAATCAGGATTTGTTTTCTTTTTTTGCCTTGTACTCATTTGAGACACAGTGAAAGTATTTCTATCAATTGAGGGTAGAGAGAGCGTTAAGTTATATATAAGCCAACCTTGCCATATGTATGGCCTTCTGGGTGAGAGGTTTATTTAATTGGCACTTTATAAATAGGAAAAGATCATGCTGAAAATTATATCTTTAAATATGTTGCATATACTCAAATAACTTTGGTTTTGTTTTTTAATTTCAGATAATGCTGATGTTGCTTTAGTAAATTTTTATGCTGACTGGTAAGTAATCTTGTTTTTAGTTTTGGGTTTGGTTTTCGTACCCCCCTCTCTTTTCTTCTACCCTTTCTTTTCCATTTTTCCCTGTCCATGAGAAGAGAGCATAGAGAGCATAGTTGGAAGTCAGGATTTAGGTGTGGCAAGTTTATAAAAAAAACATTGATTTTTCAACTTACATACTTTGTCCCAGGAGGCCTGTAGTTCTTGCTCTGGATCAGATCCTGTCTTCTGTGTTTATATGATATTGGGACCATTTTCTTCTTTTCACTTCAGGTTGATAATCCCTTTTTTTGAAGTGCTTTGACTTGGAAATGATTTGTGTTTTTTTGTTTTTGTTTTTTTTTGTTTTTTAATATGTACATACATAGACTTTTAGTAGTTGAGTGTCTCTAAAGTCTGAAGTATTCCAAAATCTGAAACTGTTTATCATTTGCAATTTCAGACTTTCAAATTAGAGATGCTCAACTTAGATACTGTTTTTGTTTTTAAATTTGTTTGTGCCCTACCAAACAGACTTATTAGTATTCCCAGAATCTAGAACATGATGTTTAAGTATGCTAAAGAATGTGTGATGAAGATAGGAATGAGGGAGAATTAATTGAAGAGTGGTTTGAAACACTGGCATTAGTGTTTTTAACCATTCCCTAAAAGACTTATTGCCTGCCAGCTGCCACCACTCTGCTTTGGGTTAGCTCTGGTCCTGCAGTTTCCTTAGTTCTCTGTGACAGTCTCCTCTCTTGTTTTCTGTGCCTCTAGTTTTACATATGTCCTCAATATTCTCTGCTGTGTAAGCCAGAGTTTATATATTATGTATTTATGTTTTTATATTATGTATTTCCACAATATTCTCTGTAATATAAGACTAATTTCTTCCCTACAGTGCAAATGATTTGAGTTTACACTCTTATCTTAAACTTTCCAAATCTTTCGGTTAAGATTTAAACCGCTTGCCTTGACCTTGAAGGCCTCTCATGATTTGCTCGCTTGCATCTCTTGTTTCTTTCTACTCCCATGTTCCGCTTGTCACACCAAACCTCTTTCAGTTTCTGTAAAAATATGTACTCTTAGACCATTCTTCTGTGTCTTCCCAACCTGGATAGCTCACTTCTTGTTCTCACATACTTCTTTATTTTGTTAATCATCTTTAACATTAGCCTGAAGTGCCAGTTTCTTCGGGTCATCTTCATGTATCGGTGTTCCTACCCTTCTGTCAAGTCAGGCTAGGAAGCCTTGTACACTGTCCAGTTTGCAATAATTTAGCACATGGCTTTTTAATTTTACTATTGTGTAAAAATTATATGCATTCAATAGAAACTGGACTTTAAATTGTTACCTCTGCCTGGGCTAGTGACAAGCAGTATATATTGCCTCTATGGTGGACTGTGGTGGCAATGTCTAGCTCCCAGCCAGCCAGGCGATTGTGAGGGTGAAAAACTGATACTCTGCACTGTGCTGTTTCTGAGCTGTGCCATTTGAAGGGTAGGCATAGTTAATACATTTTTGCCTTAAGATATTTTCAGCTCATGTTAGATTCCATGGACTTAGTTCTTTTGTAAGTTAAGGAGCATCTGCATTTCTCACAGCTCCAGTCTTACCAGCTACAGCTCTACACATGCTACAATCTAGTTAGTGATTCCCAAATACCATCTTTGCTTTGTGGAGATAGTTACCATAACTTTACTTTAAAATGTCATCCTCAAGCATTTTGCAAAATACATGACTCATAAGTACATAACAGTGTCTCTTGAATCAGTGTGTGGATTCATGATACAGGTATTTAAAAAACTTTGATATAAGTTGAAGATTCATAGGAAAATACCATGTATATGTATGTAAATGTGTAATGGAGGTAGCATTTCTAAAGGCAAATTAGGATTAATGTTAGTCATAAAGTTTGGTAGAGACTATCTAGTCCAATTTACTTTACAGGTAAGGAAATTCAGATCCAGAGGAGCAAAGTACTTTCCCTGTGACCTGATCAGATTGTACACAGGACAAATTAGAATGCAGTGCTCTGGACTGAGGAATTCTTGCTATTATGAGAAAGCAGACTAGGACTTGCAAAATCTGATTTGGAAATGTGGACTAGTAGTGGTTATTTGAGAAAACATATTACCTAAAGAATGTCTTTTACTATTAATGGTAAATTGCTGCTCTTTTTTTCAACTGAGAAAACTTGGGAAATTTGCTGGTAGCTTTCCGGTGTTTTCAAAGGCTAGATAGACTATTCTCTCTGGAATTTAGTTCTCTTATGTAGCTGCCTAGAAGTGCTATAATACTTCAGAGAGTAATAAAAGACAGTAGGTACTTAGTAATGCTGTGAATTGGCAAGCTCTATATATATTGTTGTAAGGCTCAGGATTGTCCCCCAGGTAGATATTGTAATTTCCATTTTAGATTGAGGAAGTTGAGGTTCAGAAAGGCCATCTGTAGCCAGAAGAAACTTTAGCTACAGCCATCTGGCTAGTAAAGTGTGGATCAGGGATTTAAAGTCAGCTATGTCTAAATCTAAAGCTTATTTCTCTCCCACTAGATCATAATAGTAAATGTCCCCAAAGTGTCTCTGCAAGACTGTTACCTCTGTGGTTGATTTGTTAAGGATTATTTAAGCCTTTGATTGAAGATTGGATTCAGAAGACCATGAAAGTCGTTTAGTGGTTCTGTTGCTTTTGTGGTGTTACCTGTGTAAATGTAGCGTTGACATGCATCCGAAGGTGCGGTAATACTAGAATTTAACTGTACAGCTGGTTTTTTGTTGTTGTTGTTGTTTTGTTTTGTTTTGTTTTGTCCCAAGACAGGGTTTCTCTGTAGTTTTGGTGCCTGTCCTGGATCTCGCTCTGTAGACCAGGCTGGCCTCAGATTCACAGAGAACCACCTGCCTCTGCCTTCCAAGTGCTGGGATTAAAGGCTTGCGCCACTGCCGTCCGGCTAGAATTGAACTGTAATTTCACCTTCCACTTTAAATTTTCAGTATTCAAATGGATACTGTTTTTAACACGAATCTGCTTAAAAACTTAACTGGACAGCCCGGAGAGGAGTCCTTGGTGTGAGACCTCCTTTGCTCTGGAGCCAGAAGCCTTCCATCGGTTCTTGACTAGGCCCCAGCTAAAGCTCTCAGAACCAAAAACCAAACCCTCTCTCTGCCTTCCCCTGCCCTTTGCCTAGTCTATTTCTAGAATTTAAGTCCTCGCAGACCTTGGGTTCCAGCTGCTCTAGTTCTTGAATTTATCAGCTTGCTCCTTTAACAGAATCTATTGAACCGCTTATTAGAATATGTAGTCAAATAAGACACGGTCCATGATGTCCACAGACCCTACCTATCCCAGACGGGAGACTTAAGATGCTAAAGAGGAAAGAACCACTTGAAAGCAAGAGTCTGAAGATACAGATTGTGTCTCCTTGATATATTCTAGGACATCTCCTTAGGAAGTCAGGTGAGTAGGCTAGAGAGAGAAGCAAGAAGATATAGGGAGGAGGTGTAATTCTGCATCCTTTCGTGTATTCTTCACTAGATTATTGCTAATGTAAAATCACATGGATTAGAATTTATGGGTTTCTTCAAGAAAATGTCTTGGTGCATAAGGGTTCTAAAAACAATAGTAGCAATTATAGTACTTTACCATATCCTCAATACCTTTTCCCTTGAAATGTCCATCTTTCCCAGCTGGTTGTATGATGTGTACACTATTTATCCCCCTAACCCCCACTACCCTTAGGTCCCTTTAATCACCCATAATATGTATTTCTGAAGTTGTTGGCCAAATGAGGGGCAGCTAGGATTAGAAGTAACAATTTCCTGTATTATTGTGGCTATTGTGTCCCACTTTTAAATAGGTGGGAGAGGGGAAAATAGTCAGGGAGTCCTTAGGAATTCGAACTTTTGCTGCTGGACATAGTAGGTTTATATGTTTGCAGAGATAATGGCCTATTTTAATGTGCAGATATATTTTGAAGGGAAAATACTCATTATATGCCATATATTCTTTTAAAAAAACGGTTTTATTTAGTATGTTAACTTGTGTCTGAGATTGATGGAGTAGCTAGGTGGATTGATCTAGCATTTGCAATAAACTAAGAGTTTGTGCAATAATATGGAAATATGTTCATTGTTCAGAGAAAGCAAATTACTTCTGTAAACACTCAGATCTTAACAGTTACAAACCCAAGCAATGTAGGTTAGAGGGTATGCTGCAGGCTTATGTCATGGCCTCTGAGATCCATAGCTACATGCACCATAACACTGGCAGTTAACTATAAGGCAGAACAACAAATCAACTTGATAGTTCATACAACATTGCATTAGAGAGTACAGTCTTTAAATGCAAGTTGGTTTCCTCTCATTCATTGACAAACATCAGAAGCATGGTTAAATTGAATGTGTGGTTGTCTCACAAGTTTTTTGTTGTACATATACTAAACATCAATGAATGATAACTGAAGTAAGATCCTGTGCCTTCTGCATTTCCCTGCTAATTGGTGTGCTTGTCTGTGTGTAGGTGTCGTTTCAGCCAGATGTTGCATCCAATTTTTGAGGAAGCATCTGATGTCATTAAGGAAGAATATCCAGATAAAAATCAAGTAGTGTTTGCCAGAGTTGATTGTGATCAGCACTGTAAGTAACTAAGTAGGAAGTCTGGAAGAAACTGTTGTGTTCCCTACTCTGCACATGCACCCTCCCTGCCCCCTTTTCAGATGTCCTGCTATAAGTGAAGGCAAAATCTTAAAGGGTCTGGAACCTAGAATACATTTCTAATATTTCATCTTTTATGTCTTTTTAACAAAACTTTATTTTGTCTATGTAAAAGATATTTATGTTTTTGTTTTTGCTTTATTTTTTAATTAAAATGTAGCAGGTCAAGTATATAGGTAGCAGCTAACTACATTTTCTACCAAAGCAAATACTAAAATCAATAAATATAATTGAACTATAATTTTAGAAGACAAATTGAGATTTTTTATTACTCTTAGAAGCATATAAAAGTATCATAATAGTCAATTTAAATAAGACTAAAATTATGCAAAAGTATATACTCATTTTAAATAAGACGGTATCAGATTTTTGTGTTTCTGTTTATTTTAAGGATTCTGCTAAGACTGGCTTTGTGTTTAAAGTGTATTTAGCTGCAGTTACTATGATAATTAATGAACTATTACAAAAACTTCAGTTAGTCTCTTTGATAATCTGTTTTCTTGCATTTTTTTGTCTCTGTGGAATGCACTCTGTAAAATATTTGTGGTTTTTAATATAAATAGCAGTGTTTTCTAATGGAACAACTGAGCTAGCAGCTAGTGCTTTCTCCCAGGTGCCCTGCTTACTGTATTCCCGCTTCCCTTCTGGGAGCACTCAATGAGTTGAACTTAGTAGGTCTTGTGTTGAGGTCTTCGCTGTTTCATTAGCTGCACTGGGAGTTCTTCAAGTCAGCATTTTCCTGTTTTCTTTTTCTTGATACTCCCAGTTGTAGAGATTTAACAACTTACTAATCTCTATATGTCATGCATTTGACAATTTCTAGAAGACAACTCATGAAAGGCTTGTTTGCATTGAGTTCTTGGTAAGTTACTGTATACAAAGTAATCTCCTACTCTACAAATTTCCTGTCCTTTGATCTACAGATTGCAGTTCTTCTGCTCCTGAGCACCTGTTCTTTCTGTGTGTACCTCTTTGTCTCTCTCTCTCTCTCCTCCTTCTTTCCCTATTTCCCTCCCTCCCTCCCTCTCTTCCTCTCTCTCTCCCTTTTTCTCTATTTTTCTGTCTCTCTCCATTTTTCCAGGTAAAGAAACAGAAATTAAGTGGCTTAGCCAATGTTACACAGCTTAGTGTACATTAAGCTGCAATTAGAAAACTGTTCTGACCAATGGCCACAGACAGCAGTTTTGTTCTTTCCTGTTTCATTCAGGGAGCATTTTGAGGATTTGCTAGCACTGCTCAATGCCGGGTAGAAAAGCATTTTCTAACAGCGTATCATTTCAAACTATTATAAGCCATACCCCATATTTCTCTTTGTTAGGACTCACAGCTGGATTGAATAAAGAGGGCAATAAAATATTGTAGGTATAAGCATACATGATGTCTGCATACTGCTTTCTGGAGTACTTGCCTCTTGCCCTTTCACTGATAGAGAGCTTGGCATGCTTGGTGTGGCCTTAGTGTTCAGATCTTTCTATTCTTTTTGTATTTAATTAGATGTTACAATGCAAATATGAGTTCCTGAGTCCCTGCTGGCACTAAATTTGAACCACTGTGCTTTCACGCTTGCAGTCATGGGGGGGAGAGATGGTTACTTCTATTGTTGAACCACCTATGTGCATCATTTGCACTATCTTTTAAACAGATGAATTCATACAATAAATAAATCTCATTATTATGAGTTCCTTTTTCTTTTTTTATTTAAATTATAAAATTATTTCTTTTTTTACTAAGAATTTTTTTCATTCATTTTACACACCAATCAAAGATCCCCCTCTTCCCTCCTCCTGCCCTCCCAGTCTCCCTCCCCCGACAACCCACCCCTCACTTTCCCTCACAAGAAGGCAAGGACTCCCATGGGGAGGCACATCAGTAGAGGCAGTGCAAGCCCTTCCTCGTGCATCAAGGCTGCACGAGGTGTCCCATCACAGGTAGTGGGCTCCAAAAAGCCTGCTCCTGTACCAGAGATGGATTCTGATTCTACTGCCAGGGGCCCACCAAGCAGATCAGGCTACACAGTTGTCTCACCATGCAGAGGCCCTAGTCCAGTCCCATGCAGGCTCCACAGCCATTAATCCAACTTTCATGAGTTCCCACTAGTTTGGTTTGGTCATCTCTGCAGGTTTCCCCATCATGACCCTGATGTACTTGATTGTAGAATCCCTCCTCTTTCTCTCTCCTACTGGACTCCTGAAGCTCTGCCTGGTGTTTGGCTGTGGATCTCTGCATCTGCCTCCATCAGTCACTGGAGAAAAGTTCTGTGATGACAGTTATGGTATCCACTGATCTGTTCACTGGGGCAAGCCAGTCCAGTTCAGGCACCCTCTCCACTATTTCTAGTAGTCCAAGCTGGGGTCATCCTTGGGGATTCCTGGCAACTTCCCTAGCACCGAGTTTCTCTCTATCCCCATGATATCTCCCTCCATCATGGTATCTCTCTCATTGCTTTCCCACTTCATCCCTGTTCCAGCTCAACCATCCCATTCCCTTATATTCTCATCCCCTATCCCCTACCCTCCATTGTCCACCCCTGACCCAGAGTTCACACATGGAGATCTCATCTATTTCCCCTTCCCAGGGTGATCCATGTGTCTCTCTTTGGGTCTTCCTTGTTAGCTAGCTTCTCTGGAGTTGTGGGTTGTTGTCTGGTTATCCTTTGCTTTACTTCTAGTATCCACTTATGAGTGGGTACATACCATGTTTGTCCTTCTTAGTCTGGGTTACCTCACTCAGGATGATATTTTCTAGTTCCATCCATTTGCCTGCAAATTTCATGATGTCATTGTTTTTCTCTGCTGAGTAGTACTCCATTGTGTATATATACCATATTTTCTTAATCCATTTCTCAGTTAAGGGGCATCTAGGTTGTTTCTAGGTTCTGGCTATTAAAAATAATGCTGATATGAACATAGTTGAGCATGTGTCTCTGTGGTATGATTGAGCATTCCTTGGGGATATGCCCAAGAGATTGATTCCGAATTTTCTGAGAAACCACCATACTGATTTCCAAAGTGGCTGTACAAGTTTGCAGTCCCACCAACAATAGAGGAGTGTTCCCCTTGTTCCACATCCTCTCCAACATAAGCTATCTGCAGTGTTTTTGATCTTAGCCACTCTGACAGATATAAGATGGTATCTCAGAGTTGTTTTGATTTGCATCTCCCTGATGACTAAGGATGTTGAGCAATTCCTTAAATGTCTTCCGGCCATGTGAGATTCTTCCTTTGAGAATTATCTGTTTAGCTCTATAGCCCATTTTTTTTTTATTGAATTGTTCATTATTTTGATGTCTAGTTTCTTAAGTTTTTTAGATATTTTGGAGATCCAGCCCTCTGTCAGATGTGGGGGTTGGTGAAAATCTTTTCCTATTCTGTAGGCTGTCATTTTGTCTTATTGACTGTGTCCTTTGCCTTACAGAAGCTTCTCAGTTTCAGGAGTTCCCATTTATTAGTTCTTGCTCTCAGTGTCTGTGCTACTAGTGTTATATTTAGGAAGTGGTTTCCTGTGCTAATGCATTTAAGACTACTTCCTACTTTCTCTTCTATCAGGTTCAGTGTAACTAGTTTTATATTGAGGTCTTTGATCCACTT